GAGATGCGGCACCAAAACACAGTGCTGCCTCCCAAACTGCATCCTGGACAGGTGCAGATGTAGTGGGGAAACTGACAGTCTGACTAAAGTCTATAGCTTGGTCACTTGTGTTGTGCCAATGTTCGTTTTTTAAGAGTTAATAAATACAGAGGGTGCCAGAAAAATATACGTATTTTAAGAGAGGTTAGATAACCTCTAGATATGTGTTACTTTTCAAAGTTGAATTGAAGGTACTGTTACTGGTCAAGTGTGCCTAGACTTGCTATGCACATCCATTCTGTCTGCAGGACACTTTGGGAATTATCAATTTCACTTCCAACAAGATCTCTTCAAATGTGTATACTTATTTTTGGCATCATGATAGGTAAACATATATACATTAGAGGAAGCTGGGTGAAGGCAATGCAGGTTGAGCATCATAAATTTAAAAATACAAAATCTGAAACTTTTTGAACAATGACGTGATGCTCAAAGAAAATGCTTGTTTCAGATTCCTGCTTTTTAGATTTAAAATGCTCAGTTGGTAGTATAATGCAAATATTCAAAAATCTGAAACACTTCTGGACCTAAGCATTTCAGATAAGGGATATTGAACTTGTGTGGAAGTTCTCTGTATTATCTTTACAACTTTTCTGTCAATCTAAAATTATTTAAAAATTAAAAGGGAGCAACTTCCTGATGGCATTCTCGGTCTAAGGATATACGTTATTTAAAGTGTCTTCAAAGCAAATTAGTTCAGAGAAATCACCTTCTCCAAAGTCTTTGTGTAGTATCTCTCTGAAAGAAAGATGAGCTCTTAATAACACAAATGAACTTTTACAGAGCACGGACAGTCAATTTTAGAACCAGAAGTGCATCTTTCCTTGTTTTATGCAGGTCAGTGCAGCCGACACTGAGTGTGTGTGCCTTTGTGACTTAGTGCATTCACCACTCAGGGTACAAAATGCATTCTGTGAAACGTGGCAGAATGGAGCAGCTGAGGCTTTGAGCCCTTCATTCCAGATATTATTTTTGAGCTGCTAATTTAAAATATTCAGAGATACTAGATCAGGTTTCATCTGACAATCTCTTAACCCCAGGGTATTGGTAGATTCAAATAACATAAAAATGTGGGACTCAGTAAGAGGAATACATAAAAAAAAAAGTTTTTCAATATGAATTATACTGTGTGTTGCTCTTTTTTTTCCAAAACCAATAAAACCTCATTAATTCAATGTAATTACGGGTATAGATATGAAATCCTGATTTATAAAAATTTTATTCTTTTTACTTTCAAGCTTTCGTTAGCTCATTAGCTCAAACTAAGATAGAGTTGATTATAGAATGTCCTCCACTGCAGTCCTGTTTTAGTAGTTAATAATATGTAATTGACTGACAATGATTATTGTCATAATAACAAATTGGAATTTGGATATCAGAATTAAATTTCTCTCCCATGTGCTAGTCATTCTTTTGTTACAACCATTGGTATAAATTGCCATTGGTTTGTGTACCTGTGAGAGGCACTATTTTTATCAATTAAATATATTTTATTGTCTAACCAAATGAGTACCTCTAGTGTGTCTCTCTTGGGAATATAACTGCTATGATCAATGAAGATCAATGTTCTTTACCGTGGAACTATATTAAAGTTGGTAGTGGCAGATGCATATGTTTTTTGGAAAGCTGTGTTTCCCAGATCTTTAATGCATGGCCAACCAGACATACAGATCATTAATAATACTACTTAATTGCTATAGTCAAATTGAGTAACACATAATTTATAGCAGTTCTGAAACTGAGACACTGCATGACAAAGGCAGCCTGCACACTGACTAGCAAGCTGTCCCTGGGAAACGCATGTGTTGTACTCCCTTGACAGCTGTTCTCAGAGTGCACCTTACTACATCATCATGGATGTCTTTAGTAAATTTACGCGGAAGATTTTAAAAAAAAAGAGCAATGTGTTTTGCTAAAGGAAATCAAAAAAGATAGAAATAAATACCATGCTGGTGGATTGGATGAATTAGTATTGTTAAAGTAGCCATACTACCAAAATCTTTTTGCAGATTCATGCAATCCCTATCAAAAACACCATGCTACATTTTTTATCAGAATAGAAAAATTATCCCAAAACTTATACGAAATTTCAAGGGACCTCAAATAGCCAAAACAATCTTGAGAAAGAATAAAAGTGGAGACCTTACAGTACCTGATTTTGAAACATACTTCAAATCAACAGTGATTAAGAAAGTATACTTAATTACTGGCATAATGGTAGCTACATAGACCAATGGCATAGAATAGAGAGCTCAGAACTAAAACCTTGCATATCTGGCCAAATGACGTACCACAAGGAGCCAAGACCATGCAGTGGGAAGGACAATCTCTTCAATAAACAGTGTGGGGAAAACACAGTCCACATGCATAAGAAATGAAGCTGGGTCTTTACCTTACATCATCAGATTAACTCAAAAATAAATTAAAGACCTAAAGCTAACTGTTAAACACTTGGAAGAAAACATCAGGGAAATCTTAGGACATTGGATTTTACTATCATTTCCTGGATGGGATACCAGAATTGCAGGCAACAGAATAAAAAATAGACTGCACCAAACTTAAAAATTTCTTCATACCAAAGCAACTGAGCAACAGCGAAGAGGCAACCTGAGAAGGGCTTAATAGCTAGAATACTCAGGAGCTTCTACTCTAAAACAGAACCAAACCAGATAACACGGTTTAAAAATGAGCAAAAGCCTTGACCAGATATTTCCCTGAAGAAGGCACACAGCCAGTAAGCACATGAAAACATACTCAGCCCTACTAATTATTAGGGAAATGCAAATCAAAATCCACACTGAAATAGCACCTGACACCTACCAAGATGGCCGTTATTTAAAAAAAAAAAAAAAAAAACAGAAAATAACAGGTGTTGGTGAGGATAGGGATAAGTTGGGAATCTTGTGCATTAATGATAAACATGTAGAATGGTGTGCCCATTGTAGAAAAGTAAGGATTCCTCAAAAAATTAAAAATAGAAGTACTATATCATCCAGTGATCTCATTTCTGGGTATTTACCCAGAAGAATTTATAGGATCTTAGAGATATTTGCATGCCCATGTTCATTGCAATATTATCCAAAGGATGGAAGCAACCCAAATGTCCATCAACAGATGAATGATGAAAGGAAGTGTAGTGTATATACCTACATACATCCACTGGAACATTATTCAGCCTAAAAAAGAAGGAATTCCCATCACATGCTACAGTGAATGAAGGACATTTTGCTAAATGAGTAATGCAGACACAAAAGGACAGATGGTTCTACTCATATGAAGTATCTAAAGTGGTCAAAATCATAGAAACAAGGTAATAAGGTAGTTACCTTATTTGGGAAGAGGGGAGACTACGAGGATAGTGGGCACAGAGTTTCAGTGTTGCAAGAAGAGACAGTTCCGGGGGCTGTTGCACAACAATGTGAATATACTTAAAGTGCACAGCACACTTAAAATGGTTAGGATGGTACATTTAGTGTTGCTTTTTCCCAGAGTTTTTATAAAGTAATGTATTATTGCCTAATTTTATATTCAGTTAACAGTTTTACTGATTGCCATGTGTTAGTCACTTTTATTTATTGTTCTTGCAATGACCCAATAAATTAGTAACTTCTTTCCCCATTTTGGAAATTAGAAAACGGAGACTAAACAGTTAAGAAACTTATTTCTGTTACACCTTACATATGGTGTAACCCAAACATGGTTCCCTAACCGAGTGAGTTGTCTAATACTTGGGTGTAGAGAATGTATCAAAAGTAAAAGGATGGTGCTTCTGTGCTCCAGCCCGGGGGCAGAGGAAAACTCTGGTCTCCATAAAAAAAGTAAAAGGAGTTATGTCCCTAGGAAGCAAGGCAGGGGAGTTGCGACTAAAATAATGAATATTAGAGAATAAATTCAGCAAGTTTGCTAAGTGAAGTCTCACCTCTTTGGCCATGTCTAGTTCCAGAACCACTGAATGAATTAGACCTGCCAGATTTGTTTAAAAGGCAGATAGTCCAGTTAAATGTTATACTTATTCTGGGGAAAAAAATATAATTTGAAAGTTCTTATGAAGACATTTGCTGCCTAATCTGTAAATTGAAAGCGTCTTTAAAAAATTTTCTTCACATTCCTAAGTGGCAGTGAATATGTGGGTAGAAAAATGAGAGCGTTTCAAATAATGCTAATGAAGTTAAATGATTGCAGTCTACCATCTTGTGAGAAAAAGTTGTTAGCTTTGAAAGATGAGGGCAGAATTAAAATATTACCATGACTGGCATTATATTTGAAAACTGCAAAGATAAGCTTGGGTTCCTATTTATGAAAACCATTCTCACAGCCTAGGTTCTGTAGTTACCATGGATACTTGTTAGCTCTGACGGAATATCCATATTCAATCATCCGAGGTGAAGAAGCCAAAAACCCACCAACTAAATTCAAAAGTAGCTTCATCTCTAAGTTGGCACTAGCTTAGAGATGGAAAAGGTGGATACCCTTAAGATTAGATTTTGGTAAAAAGCAAAATGTTTTAGGACGCACATCACCGGCATTTGATCCTAGTGTTTACTTTTTGTGTGTAACTTTTCTTTAACTAGTAAATGTAGTTTCTTAGGTTTGACATAGGAATTTAGGTGGTGAGACATTTCTGAACATCTATAAGAGCTAGGCGGTATATTTAGTTTTTGAAAGCCGTAGACGCACAGACAGTATTGAAGGCACTGGTCCCCATGGTAACATATTTGCATTTGGCCCAGAAGTGACTGTTTTCTGCTTAGTTTCTTTTAATTCCCATATATTGACAGTGGTTTTCACAACTATTTATAAAATTTTGGGTAAATGAGCTTGTATATGGGGAGGGCACAGCATATCTTCAGTTACAGAGGTATTTTTGGCATTACCTAATGTGTCTGTCACATAGTAGAAGCAAAAAACCAGAAAGCTTTTTCAAATGATTTGAATATTTTCTTCAATTCTCTTTGAAACAGGTGACAAAAGAGCTAAAACAGTATGACAACAAAATTATAGAATGCAAATTTGAGAACAACAGCTGGGTCTTCATGAGACAGAGAACAGACAAAAGTTTTCCTAATGCCTACAACACTGCCATGGGTGAGTGTGACAACCTACCAGTGCTTCCATGTTTAAAAAAAAAAAATTAAGGTGTTAGAGCCAAAATGTGCTTTGCTGTTTTGCTTGATGGGTCATAGAATCATCTGGACCTCCTCCTTGTCGATGGGAAGATGTGTCGGGGCTCCCGTCAGCTTGTGTGCCCTCCTCTCTAAAGAGCCTGCTCATCCCGTCTAGCCGGGAGAAGCAGAGAGGACAGGACGCTGGGCTGCACAAGTGGGGTTGATTGAACAACAACAAAAGCCATGATAATTTCACATCTATTTAAAACCATAAAAACCATTGTTTGGCAGATGGTAAAAGACAAAATTAGCAGGGGAAAATGTAATTTTCATCTCCTAAAATAGCTTTTCAAACAATGGAGAACAAAGTAAATGAAAACTGTTTAAAAGAAACAAATTGTGCTGTGCTGTACTTCCCGGTGTTCTTTGGGTACAATGTGAGTGCTTCGGGGATTCAGAAGAGTAAGTTTCTTTCATGAGGAACAGCACACAGCAGGTGAAGTCTGTCAGGTGTACTGCTGGGACCACAAAGATAAAAACCAAGATAGAGGTTAATAGAATTGGCTCGGCGCCTGTAGCTCAACCGGCTAAGGTGCCAGCCACGTACACCTAAGGTGGCGGGTTCAAATCCCCAGCCCGGACCCGCCAAAACAACAATGACGGCTGCAACCAAAAAATAGCCGGGCGTTGTGGCGGGCGCCTGTGGTCCCAGCTACTTGGGAGGCAGAGGCAGGAGACTCGCTTGAGCCCAGGAGTTGGAGGTTGCTGTGAGCTGTAAAGCCACGGCACTCTACCCAGGGGGACAGCTTGAGGCTCTGTCTAAAAAAAAAAAAAAAGTTAATAGAATTGTGTGCTTTTAAAGTGCTCAATCAGTGATGATGATAATATTACTATAAGTTTACAAGAAAATAAGTAGTTTAAAAGTTAGTCTTGTACATTAGGGCTTCTGTTGGAACTACCAATGTTCAAACAGGATGAATTCATTTCAAAAGTAGGAGTGATTAAGCCAGTGTCTTTTATTCCAGAACCACAGGTAAATACAGTTAAAAGGACTTGTACTAAATGTTGGTCACTTAAAAAAAAGATAAAGTAATATGGCCTGCCATCTTCAGTGAAGCCCTGTATTCAATAGGAATGGGGACGGTAGTGACGTTTGTCAGAGTGGACGTCTGACTGAGAATGACAGCAGTACCACAGTGCACAGCTTCTGGAGAAGTTTCAGTGGAACGTGGACTGTAGTGCCTGGTGCTGTGCTAGATTCAAATCCTATAAGGACTGTTTGGGAGGGATAGGACACCAAAGGGAAGACACGCTTATGACCCAAATACTTAGGCTCATGTATTTATTTGTAGAGGTACAGGTTTTAAGTATATGTATTTAAAGCAAATTTTCCTGATGAATTTTATATAGGTATATGCATATAGCTGTAAGTATATGCATGTTCTTCTACTAACACAGCCAGACTTGAAAATCTGAAAGAGTTACCTGGTAGATTGAGTATCCGACAGGATTTCTATACGACATAGCACAGATTAACCAAAAATGTATTTATCTTCACTTGAGTTATAATGTTTTTAGATGCAGTCTTCTCTATATTAAGTTTTGGCTTAAAATTACCACAATAAAGGGTAGCTACTGGGAAAGCACTTACTTTGGGTATGGAGAGGGAGGAGATTAGTGTGATGTGAAGTTTGTCACTCACATTGGTGAAGTGGACGTGGTTAGCATGTTGGAGTGAAAACCTGCCCATAAGCCTGTGGTCAGCTGCCCTAACTAACCCTCACATGAGACCGGTGTCCTGCTCTGTCCACAGCTGTGTGCAATAGCATCTCGAACCCTGTCACCAAGGAGATGCTGTTTGAGTTCATCGACAGATGTGCCATGGCTTTGCAAGGGCAGAAGCGAAAGCATCATCTGGACCCTGACGCAGAGCTGATGCCGCCACCACCTCCCAAGAGGCCGCGCCCCTCATCCTGAGACCCGCCCCCCACTGCAGGGCTGCCGGGAGAGATGAAGGAGGGAAAGTGCTGTTGCCCAATTTTTGTAGCCAGAGAAAATCCGAAAGTGAGTGTGGCTTGATATTGATACACATTTGGATTTTTTAAAAAAGAGAAAGGTATTGTAGCCAGCCTGTAAATACTGGTGCATTGGTCTCCTCAGGCTGCAGCACATCATGGACTTAAACGTTTTATTTGTATCTGATAAAGTCAGCCTTACCTTGGGGGATCTGAAGACTGAAATATCCAAAGGTTTAAACAAGATTAAAATCAATGAAAAAGAGGCCTTGTTTACATATGGATAACTTTCACATTTATAAAGTTAGTGATCTGGAACTGTGAGCACATAAAACACCGTACTTTTTACAAGTTATGTTTCAACTATGGCAAATTTTTCTTTTAAAAAAATAGGCCAAGGCATTAAACATTCTTGCTATCATTTATCATGGATTTCATACATTTCTGAGATTCCCATATTCAAGAACAAATGACAAGTTTGTTAATGATTGTACTATATTAAACAACTTGGTCTGGTTTATATCATTTTAAGGAGTTTTTTTTGTAAGTGAGTGTAAAAGTAAAAAAGTAAAGCTAAATTTTTGTGAATTGCATTGTTTCTAAAGGATGTACTTTGAGTATTTTCATCTGTCTCTGTTGTTTAACCTTGATATCAGATATTCACTGTGCCCATTCTGGCAGTGGTTTTGAGTTATTTCATGGAACTTGGATATACACCACCAGGTTTTTTGTGTTGTTTTCCTGGGAGACTTTTCTTTATTGCAAATGCCAGAGCCACTTCTGCTTTACCTCAGTGGTACCAGCACATTGTAAATTACATTAAAACACACAACTCACTGTGATCCATGGGAGTGGTAGCAAATACAAATGATGTTGTGTTAGTTCCCTGGAACAAAACAGCAAAAGAAATGCCCGTTGACTCCTTTGAATAGAAGATGATGTCAGCGGAGTCGGGCACAGTCATGAGGGTGCCATCCTGCTGCTGACCATGTGCCAAGGCAGGGTGCGGACACTTATAGGAGCTGAATATCAAGAAAACTAAGACATTTATTTTCAAAGCCAGAATTCTATCTCTGTTCTATTCTGGGGATATTGTTTCTGTTATACATCTGAATTTTAAAATTTTTATTGACAGATAATGAATTTGAACGGCAGCTAATTGGTCATCTGACATTTTTGAGAAACTATGATTGGTTTATGAAGGAGCTCTGAGAATTATCAACTGATTAGAGGCAATATATTTATTTTTAGAGGGACAGGTTTTAAGCATATGTATTTAAAGAAAATTTTCTTGCTCTGAATTTTATATAGGTATGTGCATATATATGCAAATGTGTGCAGCAGTGTATGTTCTTCTACTGACACAGCCAGACTTGGAAATCTGAAAGAGTTACCTGGTAGACTGAGTATCCAACAGGATTTCTATACGACATAGCACAGATTAACCAAAAATGTATTTATCTTCACTTGAGTTGTAATGTTTTTAGACGAAGTCTTCTCCTGCTTCTCTATATAAAATACTAGTCAAGCCTGGCTTTTCCCTTTGTTGTTCCCAAGCTATGTAATGTATAGTGAATTTATTCAAAATGCTATTTTAATGTTTTTTTCATGAGTACTTATGTGTGTTTGGGTACTAAAGGGATTAAAACACCTGACTGCCGCAATGACTAGTGAAAGAGGAGAAATGCTCAAGGTTTCACAGAGACCTTTGGAAACAAAATGGATCTTAAAAAAAATAAAGCCTATGCAACTCCAAACAGGCTGAGCCTGCCTGCCCAGGACGAGTGCCTTAGCTTGGCACGTCACTTTCTGCCAACCTGGGCAACAGCAGAGCCCTCTGCAGATAGGAAAGCAAACGTCACCAGTGATTTTTAATGGCATTAAAGTGTTTATGGTAATTGTAACCTTTTAAATGTGTTATGTGAAAGAGCATCTCACTTTTAATACACCTAGATATTGTCTCCCTGTCATTATGCATTTTAGCAGCATTTAATTTTATTAGTGTATCCTTTTCTTTTTGATTATAGTGGAGTATAGTAGTCGGCCTTCTAAGTAGATCCCACTAGCCCTGAACACACTGCCCTCTGCAGTACCATAAGAAGTCACGTGACGGTTGGGGAGAAGTGCAGACTTTGGACATCAGGAAGAAAACATTTTTCTCTTTTCAGCTCACTCCACAATAGCTATTTTCTGAGGCTGAAGTTGTTTAGACAAGAATAAGAAAACTTTGCTTTCTTCATTACCACATGTAAAGCTTTTGCTTTTGGTTAGGAAAAGGTGTAGATGACTCTGCTGCCTGGACAGGTGCATCTACTTTCCGTGAACTGCTCAGAGAATGTCAGGACATTCCTTTACTTGTGTGTCCGTGGCTACTATAATAAAACTATCAATTTAAAGTAACAGAAGTGTACCTACTTTGTTTACTGGTGATACTCGTGTCCCTTCTGTTGCTGGCATCAGATACTGTCTGTCAGCCATGCCCAGTATAATTAGTTGGTTTTGTTGCACTCTAGAGATTAGCTTAAAGACTTGGAAATCCTCTGTTTTTCTTTCTGAGAAACAGAGAAATTTGATATTGGGGAGGGGTAGTTTGAGCTTTTTATTTTTGAAGGGTAGAGAAATAGGGGAAAGCACATTTTAAAAAAATATTTCTGGTCATTTGTCTCATCTTAGCCATCTACTATATGAACAGATATTCTAATTATTTTTAATGCATTTAGTTTTTAAGAATACTCACCAATAAATACTCAGAAATGATGAAGTAATGAACTGCCAATTTTTTTGTTGACTCTGCATTTTCGTAACATGGAATTAACCTTCTTTAAGCCAATACTTTGTAAATTTCTCACATTCACAGGGTAATTCAGTGTCACCCTTATCAGATACTCACCAAGTGCCTAAGATTGTCCTAAACACAACTGTGCAATCCTGACAGGTACAGTTACTATCCTCACTTTATAGATGAGGAACGTGAGACTAAGTTGTGAGCAGAGACCCAAACAGGTCTTTCTATTTCAACGCCTAATTTTTTATGCAGTTCTCTTCCAAAGGCTTCAACACCTTACCCGGTGGACAACTGCCTCAATGCCAAGGGTCCCAGACTATGTAAGTCATTTATCACATGCTAACAGGGTAATAGATGTCAAGCACCTTTCTCCAACATAAGGAGATAAAATTGAGAGCATGAGAGTAAATACATTTTTAGAACCTATGTAACTAGTTATTCAACAATGTTTAAATATAGCTGCCATGGAGGGAAGTTACATATTCTCATTAAGATACTAAATTCCAACGCTACAGTGGTTAAGTGACATACAGCACTGACATTGTCCTGCTAGTTGCGTAGCAAGCTGGCTGTTGACTCTGTAGCCAGGCCATGTTCCCTCGCCCACAACGGGGACCACTGTGCACAGTAACTAGTGGCAGAGGGCCTCAAAGCAGGGGACAGCCAGATTTCTAGATTGCACATTTCAAAAAATCAGTGGATGGTTCTGGGGTTGCCAACTGTTTTGCCAAATAAGAGCATTAAGAAATATTATGTTGCTATCACTTAATAAAATTAAGGAACTTTTAACATCCAAGCAGAAAGTAGGATGCATTGTAGAAAAACAGGCTTTTATGCAGGACAAAGTTTTGTTTATGAAAGATTCAGCACATTGTCCTTTGCTTCTGTATTCTATCCCAAACTGGTGAAAACTTTTTCAGGGACTAGAGTTGGGATCATTGCATAGGTGAGATTCCAGTCAGGGTTTTGTAGGTAGAGAGGAGAGCATGGGAACCTTCAGAAAAGCAGCGGCTCTTGGTTTAATAACTAAAGAGCATTTTCATAACTGCCATTTACCATAGTAAATTATTTCACAGTGGTCAAGTATAGGGATTGATTATATTATGCCCTTATGACATAGGTGTATAGGTGAAAAATGCAATTATCCAAATGCTTAAAAATAGCCGAAGAGAATGAAACCCCCAGATATTTGAGGTGCAGAGAGAAGGATGGCCAAATACAACAGGAACCAGAACAGCCAAGAGGCACTAGTCTCCACAGCTTTGAACTTGGCATACAGTCTATTTTTCCTTTCAATCACTCCCACCAGGGTGATCTTCAAAACTTCAAACATGCTCCTGTCTCATGCGTCTTCACTCCAGTGAGAGCCCCTCCGTGCTCTGCCAGCTCTCAGGCTCGCACCTTCCCTGTGACACAGCCAAGTAACACTTGGCTAGGCCAGAAATCTCCACACATGGTACTGCTGCTTCTGCCTGAATCTGCAGCCCCTCATCTCGGGATGGAGGCAGCCATCTTCCCACAGAGACACCCTGGATCTCAGTCTCACACTGTAGCTCAGAAGTCTCCCTTGGTCCTCTCAAACCACGTGGCAGAGGGACCGCTTTGTGACCCACTGCATGGAGTTTGGCAGTAGTGGGCACTCAGTAGAGATCAGGGCACAAGAGGTTCAAACTCCCATTTGTACTTCTGCCCGCCTCAGTCTAGCCAGGCCTGGATATAATTTCCCGTTACTCAAGCCTTCTCATCATGGGAAGCACTGGTGACCCCTCTTGTTTCTACACAGTTTCTTCAGAGGCCATGTGTGATATTTAACCTGTGTTTAACCCTGATTAGAAGCATCTTGTCTGTTGCAGCCTTTTGCAATGAGAATGAGTACTTCTGAGGGACACTTCTCAGCAGGAGGGATCTTGAGAAGTGCTCTGGTCTCCATGCTGCAGTGTGCTCTGGGGGAGGTGGGAGGGAAAAATTGTTTTTAATCAAGTACTTTTTAGTGCAGTTTCACTGAACTTGCCATTTCTTAAACTAGAAGGCGCCTTCTCTGTACCTACCCATTCTCACCCAATCTCCAATGTTTTCAAAGAGAACACTTTTGGTAACTGTTGAGGTTTTTCAGTTAGTTTTAAAAATAAATTCAAGTCCATGATTCCTTAGTGTGAGCTGTTGTTTCTAGCCTTGCCTTTTTTGAGTGGAAAAGGCAAGTGAAAGATACTGTTCTTTTTGCTCCTACTAACTCCCAGGATCTAAAGGAATAAGCAACTTCACAGTTTCTACTGAAGTCCTGTTTCCCTTCTGAACGCTGTCAGGGAGGCCATGCAGAGTGGTGACCTACAGTGTTAACACAGCACTTGCCAGCAGGGAGGACTACAGAGGTCCAGTGAGCAGCACTGCACTCCTGTATCTTGAAAATGTTGCATGTAGATAGAAACACACCTGCAAATACCACATGCAGTTGGGGTAGTGGAGCACATGGGAGGTGTTTGTTCCCCTTGAGGGAGTTGCCGGCAAGTGGGGCAAGGTGGGACAGACAGGGTTGAGAAGGAGAAGGGGGAATAGCTGTGATCACTGCATCTTAAAACTGGCCAACGGTGATTTCCCTCTGGCCACTGCCCCATTTCTTGGTCCTGTGTCCCACAGAGTTCCGTGAAGGAGCTGATTGTATTTGCTCACTCCCCATCCTTTCCTCCTTGTCTCTTTTGAACCCACTACACAGGCTGTCATCTCCATGAGGACTGTTCCCCTTGACAGGCAAATCACTGTCCTCAGCCTGTCAGCGGTATTTGGCAGCTTCCCACTCCCTCTTTGAGAGCTTTGGCAATGACGATTCGGTGACAGTTTGTTCATGACACTGACCAGTCCAGGCATGTGCACACGTAATGTTTTCAAACAAGTCAGACTCCAGCCCCCTTGGTGAGCCCTGTTTGCATGTGGATTCCAGGCCATTAGGCCCTTGGTTTTCCTCCTTCCCACGGCTGCTAGTTCTCTCTCCCTTGCTGAGCCCTGTTCTCCTTCCCAACTTGTAAGTGACCCAAGCTCAGTCCACTGACCGCTCTCTCCACTCTAAGTGACCTCTCCTGATCTCTGAACATGAATACCTTCTAGACACAAATACTTTCCAAATTTGTTTCTAGCCCAGATCTGTCTCTTGAATTCTAGACTCAGATATATAGCTGGCAGCCTGACACTTCACTTGGGTGTTTAATAGTCCCCTAAATTGACACGCCTAAAACTGAGCTCCTTCCTCCTCCAATAAACTTCTTCCCACAGCCTTCCTGTACAGCTTAGCTGATGGCAATTGCATTTTTCCAGTTGCTTCTGAGTCATCCTTGACTCTCTTCTCTCTCTCAGACTTCACAGTCACATCGCCTATAGAAACAGAGCTGGGACATGACAGCGGCCGGCTCATCCAGCAGCTGGCCGGTCCCTCTCCTGAACTGCCGCAGCCATTGCTAGCTGTACCCCAGGTCCCACCCTTGTCCCTGCAGCCCCTTGTCTAGTCTCCCACACAGCTGTCAGTGTCAAGACTTTTAACAACATGTCACTCTGCTACTAAGAACCTTCCAGTGCCTTTTCCCTCATTCAGAGTAAGATCCTGGTGCAGACCCCAGTCTGCATGGCCCTGCACCCCCTGGCCCAACTCCCCTCTGACCTCGTCTACTGCCCCCTCATTCTCTGCTCATCCAGTCGGGCTCCTTCCCTGTTTCTCCAGCTTGCCAAGCAAGTTCCCACATTAAGGACTCGGAACTCTCTTTCTCTCTACCTGTAATGCTCTTCCTCAGATACCCACAGAGCTCACGTCGCAATTCACTCAGGTCTCTGGACAAACATCATCTCCTCGAAAAGGTCTTTCTGACCATCCTATAAAAACTGTCAGTGCCGCCGCCACCGCCTCTCGCCCCACCCTGTCTTCCCACTGCCATCGTCCACTATCTCAGCCCGCCCTGTCTTCCTGTCAGCACTTTGGCCCCGCCATGCAGGCTGATGTGTCTAGTCTCCATTGTGAAAGTTCCCTGAGAACTTAAAGTTTATTTCATTCATGGCTGTATTTCCAGTTCCGAGGCCAGTGTGGCAGATAGTATAGGGTTAAACGAATATTCTGGAATCTATGCATGGAACAGGTTATGTAAATAGACTAGGGACAGAGTGTGAAGGGGTGTCTGGCTGAGAAGGCAGCCTACATTTGATCAGGAATAAGGGCCATTGCTTTGTGAGAGTAATCTGGTAATAACCTGTCTAAGGGGGCAGAAGGAAGAAAAACAGGTGACAGGCTACTTGGGAGGCCGTGGTCACAGTCCAGATGACAGGGGACCCAGCCCAGGGTAGCATCTACAGCAGAGCAGGTGGGTGAGCAGCACTCAGGAGGGAATGTTGCCAAAAGTCGGCAGTCAGTTGAGAAGCCAAGGCTACCCTGAGGAGTCTGAGTCTTGGTGGGGAAAGGGCAGCTCTTCAGCTCAGGGGCTGGGAGAGTAAGCTCAGGGGCGTGGAGCTTTGCAAAGAGCAGCAGGATCTTGGAGCTAGAGCTCATGCTGGCAAGATGTTACATTTGTCTACACACAGATAGGGAAACGCATGAAGGAAAAAGGGTCAGGGACCCCACCAAAAGAAAGCAAGGCA